TAAACTGTCATGTAAGGTGGCATGTATTCTTTACTTTGTCCCGTTGTTTGCGTATATCCTGAAACGTGATGTGTATGGTTTCCTCCTCCCTCAGTGTTACTCCAGTAACAATTTATAGCAAACTTAACGTTGTCTTTAACTCATATCCTTTACCTTTTGTCATTGCTGACCAATCCACAATATCTATGCTTATGCCAACCTGCTTGAGATGTACTTAAATCTATGTAGTGACTGTGTGCAGGTAAATTTTCACCTGAAATCGTTTTACTTCCACCTGTTTCCTTGAAGAGTTTGCACAATACAAAAACCTGTCGACTATTTGAGTCCAAGTTCAAAACCCAGAACTGTTTCTGGTCTGGTAGAGTTCATTGACGTATAAATAGAGCCTATAGGATATAATGTTTGAAGCATTTCTGTCTTTAATGTTTGAAGCTCTGTTTTGTCTGCTTTCTTATCTAACATTGCGGGGTAGTTCATGTGCTTCAAAGTTTCTGGCATGACTTTCAATGTTCCTGCAACTGTTATCTAAACTGTTTAGTGTATCTTTTACGCTTGTACTTGGATTTTCTAATGGTGCACTTGAACCAAGGTCAAAGTTCAATATTATGTCGTCTGCTGTAAAAGTTGTAAAACTTGTATGTGTATGAGTCTTATTTGCTTTCTTCTCTAACTCATCGTTAACATAAGTTTTATCTGCTTTAAGGTCTAAACATCCTGAAACCCATCCTGTATCGGCTTTAGTTTTTAAATATCTTCGATGTCCATTCATGATACCATTCAGCCCTTTCTATAATTTCTTTATCTTTTTCATCCACATATTCCTTATCTGCTTTCTTCTCTAACGCACTAGCCACACATTCCTCATCCGCTTTCTTTCAAGGCTAACGTTTAAGTCTGTTATTCAGATATAGAATGTATATGAGTCTTTTTAGAATATTCGTTTTCAGCTCTTGTCACTTCACTTGACATTTTATTGTCAACATATGTTTTGTCTGCTAGTTCAGGATGAGTATGTTCTTTTGTTGCATAAGCATTGTTAGCTCTTTCTTCTTCTTTTGCTATTGCATCGTCTACATATTCTTTGTCAGCTTTGTTGTCAACATCTGCTTTCAAAAGAAGTTCATTTATAGGTTTCTCGTTTAAAGTTCCTTTTGTTGGATTTATACAGACAGTATTGTTCTTCTTGTCTTGAAACAGAAACTCATCTGTCATTGGGTTTAATGTCAGTTTTAAGTTTCCTTCTTTCAATGACTCAGATATCTTAGAATAGTTTGAAAAGTTTGTTGTGTTCTTATTTAGAGCTTGCATAATGAGTTGTCGGTTGTGTTGTATTTCTCTCATGGAAGCAATATCTTTCGACATTTTTATTCTAGATAAAATATGCTTTCAATAGAAAAGAAAATTCAAGAGTTGCTACAACTAAACCATTAGATGAACTTTTTACTAATGTCGGTCAAAAGTTTGAGACAGAGACCGTAAAGCATGAAGGCTATCGTTTGTACTACCCATTAAGATGGTTAAGAGACCCATCCGTCACAAAAGCTATTGGCTTTCGTAGAATGAAGTTCATTTCAGAAGCCATACATGGTTTCCCATTTACGGTCGGTTTTGAAGTTCGATACTAAACAAAGAAAAACGTATGTATGAGAAATTTGAACAGGGAAAACTTTTACAAGTTAGTTTGCTTGTAAACTTAGAAACAACTCTTCAAGCTTTTCAAGAAAAAATAAACGATATCTATATCGAATATGCAAACCAGTATAACATTGACGAAGGAGAATACCATCTCGATATTATTTATGACAGGAAAAATGCAACTGTTAAAATCAATAAAATAGAAGACCTTGGAGAAACGTTTATATTTCTACAAAATATAACAACTTGGCATGGTATAGATTTATGAGGATGTTAAATCAGCCTGCAGCATATCCAGTACACCCAGACTTTTATGAAGTCGAAAACCCTAATGGAACATATGAAAATGTTTTCGACCAAGATGCTATTATTGTTCATGCTTCATTTTCTGGCGCCCAAAACTCTTTCTTATGCTTGGCAAATGACTTTTACGAAAAACCTACAAAGTTATACGAACCACCAAGTGGAAGTATTTCAGACTTTCAAGTATGGTTTACTACAGATGGAAGAAAAAGAATAATTCCATTATACCATGCGTTTTACTTAGAACTTAGTTTCATATACAACTACTATCGAACGGTAAAAATATAATTTTTATATATACCGGTTGTGGTGTTGGATTTGGTTGCCAACTAGACTGTGGTGCAGGTTCAGGCTGTTGTATAACAGGAGCTTGCTCTTCTGGTTCAGGGTCTTTAGGTATAATACCAACAAACTGACCTACCCTTTTACCAATATTTTTGACACCGTTCCAAATTCCTCTTCCTACGGTTTTTATTCCATTCCATATACCTCTTCCAACTCTTCTGAAGAAGTTTCCAATACTACTGAAGAAACCCATTTTACTATATGTAAAAATCTAATGTCCACCTAGTCTCTTACGTTTCCTGTTGAGTTCCATAGCATTCTTTAACTGGAGCTCATACATTCTGTTTCTCCTCTGGTAGAAAACATATTCTGGGTCAACTCCTGTGTTCGCGTCATCTGCATAAAGTTGTTTATATCCCACTTCAGGGTTTGTATAAAACTCTTTCCATCTCATATTTGCATACCATGGTGGCAAACCTAACGCAGCGTCATTTGACATGGCAGTTTGCATTTGTACATCTGTTGGCACTTGACCATAGTTTGCCATTGCAGTTTGTATTCTAACTTCATTTGGAATATTCTCTGGGTTTGGTTGTCCAGGTTGCTGTGCATTCGCTAAGTTCTGTGCGTCCATTTAATATTAGATAAAAATATCTCTTACGAGTACATATACTGAACATTTGCAGGCATTGGTTCATCTTCATATTCTCTGTACTTTTCTGCCACGTCAAATAAATAAATGACACAATGGAAAAAACCTAAAACAAGTAGTCCTATTTCAAACCACATTTACTTACTAATAAAATTTCTTTGTTATGACACTTTCTCCGGTTTATAGGACCTCTCTCATATCTATCTTGTCATATCTAAACTCATAGTCATGTATGTCCTCTAACCATCTCATAACGGTTTCCAAACCACTTTTATCGGATGTAAAGTAAAAGCATGGATGGTTATGTAAAACGTCTAAAGTTTCTAAAGAGTCTCTCAAAGTCCAGTCTACTTGGTATTGAAAATCCCATGTGTTATAGAACGGCGGGTCCACTATAAAGAAAACATTTTCCTTGTCTTTATATTTTTCATACAACTCTGTCCAATAACATCTCACAAACTCTATACCCTCAATATATTTTCTATGTCATCTTTGAAAACATTTGTATAGTTAAGATATAAAACTTTTGACATAAGTGTTTCAATGTCATGAACTCTTATAGCACCACTATATATAGTCTAGCAGATATACTATTCCAGTCTATATATTCTGCTTTTTTCAAAACCTCTCTCACAATATTTTCTTATCTAATGGTATACGTTCCATCTTACCTATAGGTATCTTTTCTTTTAACTCTTTCAATATATTGTTTGTGTCTGGTATAGTTTTGAGACGGTCCATATAGTTGTCGAAGTCATTGCATATAATCTTTGAGTCTGGGAATATTGTATGACATAAATGGGATATATAGAAACTTCCACCGAACAAATCTACAAATGTTAGACCATTCGGTAGTTTCTTAAGTTCTCTCAATATAATATCTTTACATTTACTCTTATTTCCAAAGAACGGTAACGGTGGTTTTGTAAAATTCATTTATATATAATAATAAAAATGTTTTTACCCGAAAAGTGACAGAAAAGTGACAAAGCATGAAAACATATATAATTTGTGAAAAGTGAAACATTATATAATGTTTTCGACCCAGAAGACTAACAATTTTCCGAATAAAAACTTCATTTATACTAAACTTTTTATGGGCTAGAGGGCACGAAGTGCCTGGAAGGCCATCCCAAGAAAAAAAAAACTTCATTATACTAAACATCTTCAGGGCTAGAGGGCACGAAGTGCCTGGAGGCCCCACTACCTTTTTTTTTTTTTTTTTTTTAATAATTATTTTTAATATATGTGCTATTAAAATTTCAAATTTTGACTAATATATCTAAGTTATCTGAACGAAACATTTAGAAAATATCATACTTACATTGAAATAGCAAGTAGAGCATATTAATAGCAAGTTTCTTGGCTTTATATTTATCATCTATTGTTGTTTGATCAAACAAAATTCACTCTATTATATGGTGTCAATTAATTAAAACAATTTTTAATAGTTATTTATTTAGTGCGAATAAGTGCAAACTCATAAATGAATAACTTAATAGTAGAAATGAATTATCTGATATAAATCTCACATTTTGTCCATCAGAAATACTTTAATTGCATACGCATAACTATTAGTAATACGTCTGGAGTGTCAATTAATAACAATCCCACAACAAGTAAAATTCAGATTTTTATTAAACTTATTTTTTCCTAAAAGTTTTCTCAAATTACTATATATACATATGTGGATAAAATAATAGTAATATTGTAAAAAATTAGATAATTTTTTTTATTTGAGAACCTCTCAAAAGTTCATTCAATTTATCAATTGTTTCAGTTTGATGTATATTCATTTCTGGAGCCTAAAACTTTAGCAATCATGACAATATCATATTCTCTTTCTAACTACGCAATGTAAGGGTATCCTTAAAATAAATATTAGATTTCTATATAAAATCAATTTTTATGAGATGACTCAATACAATTCATGAATTTATCACAAAGTCCGATTTTTCTGTCCAATCCAGTCCGTTTTATGTTTCTTTTGGATAGAATTTACTATTTCATTTCTTAGTCGCTGGATGCTGATAGAATTAAGGCATAATAAAAAGAATAAGCGTTAAATTTCAATACCTAATGATTTAAATTTGATCATATTCACTCTTACCAAATAAATGTAATTTCACTTACTTACACCATATGAATGAAACACCTCAGATATATCTTGATACTGACAACGTTTTGCAATTTGAAGAACAGTGTTTCCATCTTTATCTTTTTCATTGACTTTTGCACCATGTGAAAGAAGCATTTCACATATTTTTCTATTTAGATTGTATATGGCAGTATGTAGAGGCGTTTGTCCATTTCTATCTTTTTCATTGACATTTGCTCCATGTGAAAGAAGAATTTCAACTATTTCTTTACGATTATACTCGGCCGCTATATGAAGAGCTGTTTGTCCATATTTATCTTTTTCATTGGGATTTGCTCCATTCAGAAGAAGAAACTCAGCAGCTTCATTACTGGGAGCAATAGCTGCAATATGAAGAGCTGTATTCCCAGTATTATCTTTTCCATTGACATTTGCGCCATGTAAAAGAAAAAGTTCAATTACTGCTTTACTATTGTTTGATGCTGCAATATAAAAAGCTTCTCCATCATTTGCATTATGAGAAAGAAGAATCTTGGCTGCATCTGGACTATCAAATTCTGCTGCAATATTAAGAGGGGTTGCTCCATCTTTATTCTCTTCATTGACATTTGCACCAAATGAAATAATAAGTTCGGTTGTTTCACGGCAATTAAAACGTGCTGCTAAATGAAGAGCTGTTTCACCTTCATGATCCTTTGCATTGACATTTGCACCAAGTAAAAAGAAATATTCGCTTAGCGATGGAATATCAAATATTGATGAATTAATAAAGCATTTGTTATAATCATTAGTTTTTTCATAATAATATAATAATGATTCAATATTATTATAATGTCCGCATTCATATAAATCGATATCTAAATGGTATTCGTTCATCAATAATTTAACAAAATCAATGTTATGTGAAATAATTGCATTTACCATGCATTGATCATTTGGTTTCTGATATTTCAAACATTCACACACAATCTCTGGATTTCTGCCTAAAAACGAAGATTCTAGACAATAATGAGTGATTTCTAGGTTAAAATTCTTTCTTAAATACTTGAAACAATTAATTGCTCCATGATAACAACATAAATAAAGTAATTTGCGATAATGCTTTTGATCTTTTTTAAATCCTTCTCTTTCTATGAAATAGATGAATGTTTCTATTGCATCATACATAATTGCTCTGTAAATTGTATTTTCTTCTAGTTTATCTAGATTATCAATATCTTCTCTTTCATATTCCTCAAAACAATGTAATTTAATGCCATATTTTTTATAAAACAGGAAGTTAGAAATAAATGGAATACTTGTTACATTCTTAACATGATATTCGTCAACGATGATTTTGGCAAGTTCCAAATATGTTTTCGCATAGCGTTTATTATATGGAATTATGTCTAAAATTCCTTTTACAATATTACAGGGGAGAATTTTCATTGAATCAATCAAATTTGTTTTGATCACTTTGTAAATCGAAATTAGATCTTCATTATATGGCGTTTTTAACTGATATAACACATTGTATGTATCAATGTGGCGTTTGCACATACTTTTCAATTCATTGTATTTACTATGATTAGTGTTCTGATCAGACATTAAAAAATTTAAAAGTAATTTATTAGATTTTTAACACTAAAATATTTTTTGAATTAATTGGTATAAAAATCCCAATTTATTAAAGGGATAAGCAATGATCACAAAAATTCCATATTTAATTAATGAATTATGATGATGTTCATAGATAGGTGATGATTCAATAGCAGTGGTAAAGCTGAGTGTAATAGGATATTGTAAAAATAAGGGATTTAAAGGAAATTTATTGTGAATTCTTCAATAAACCTAGAGTATTTTCAGCTCCAGATCAAACACTTCCCTATTTAAGCCTCAGAAGCGCATCAACTTTCAGAGTAGACCTATATTTTGCAAAAATCTCAATTTGAATTTTTCTGTAAATCAATCCTCACTGCGTATTATTTACAACATATCATTATAATTGATAGTATCACATTATGGTTGAAGACTGTCAAAAAAGAACAATGTTGATATCAAAATATGTTAGAATATAGTCAGGCACTAAGATTTAGAAAAAAATTAACTACAAAATCACTTGTTCTAAATGAATCAAATCAGATTCTGCAATGTACAAATAAAAATAGATTTTTTATTAATTTAATAAGAAACAAAAAATATTTTTTTTAATCAAGAGATTGCCATTCTTCATCCTGAGTCTTTCTTACGGCACTTGAGAAAGTTCTTAATGTTCTAACTTTCTTCTTTGTAGCACTCTTAGAAATTGCACTTTCTGTATTTCCAACTGCAACTTGTTTTTCTCTGTCGTTTACAGACTTAAATCCTTTCTCAGCTGCTTTCTCAGATTTGGCTTTTACATCTTTAAACAATTGAACAGCTGTTGCAGTTATGTCTCCTCCTTTCTGAGGATCATTTCCCAAAAGAGAAATTGCCCTTACAGCTATTTTTACTGTTTCTTCCAACAATTCTTCAGAAAGATATAAAGATTTCTCAATTCCTAATCTAATAAACTGCATATAAACAGTACTATTTGCTGGATCACTGACAACTAAATCTTCAATTTGTTTCAAGTTGTTAAAACTAAACAAAAATGTTCCAATTTTTGGATTATTTATCAAATTTGTTGAAATCGTTGTCATTCCACCTTTCTTGAATGTTGTCCAGCAAAATTCGCAAATATCTTCTCTATCTAATTCGTCAATCTTTGACAAGGCACTTCTGATGATGTCACCTTTTTGTGTTCTATTCAAATTTTGAGTTTTCAGAATTAAATCAAAAACTTTGAAAGAAGAAGTGTTTGACTTCGAAAACATCATGTAGAACAATTCAGGACAATTATGTAAAATGGCACTAGTTGCTATGATGTCACTTTTATCGTAAATGTCACTTTTTGTTCCAGAATTTAACAAAAATGCAGCAGCTTCTTTTGAGAAAGTTTTTGCGAAAACTAAGTCCGCCATTTTATTCCAAGCCTTGGACTGTAATTTTCTGTGAGAACAGTTGATCGTGAACTGCTCCAAAAGAGGAGAATTTTCAACAGCGGTTAAAGCGGATAAAATCAAATCTTCTTCGATTTCTTCTTTTTCGTATTTTATCAAAACACTTAATGCTGTAAATGAACTTGTTTCTAGCCATTCTTCACCGCATTTCATTTCTTTAACTAAAAAGGCAACAAAGTCATTCGTGTTCACTTCACATTTCTTAGTTAGCCAGGCCACAGACGATAGAATTTCTGACAAAGATTTTTCGTAATTTCCTCTGAAATCAGAAATCATCATCCAATCTTCTTTCGCAAAAATCTCTGTCATTGATTTGTAAACATCTCCCAATGGTTTACAAAAACGGTTTAAGTTTACATCAATGTCACTTTTATCCATCAATCTCAACAACTTAAAGAAAGTTGCCGCGATGCAAATAGACGATGGATTTATGTCACAATTTGTCAAACCGTTTGTAAACTCTGTCAAAAAGTTATTAATTTCCTCATTTCTCTGGCATTTCTTCATGCAATGAGATAAAACAGCCAACAAGAACTGTTTTGAGTCTGATAAAACAGAGAAAGAGTTTTTGACATTTGAGATAATTTGTGGTTCATATAAATCAAGACATTTTTGGCCGTCAAATTTCTCAATAATCTTAACTAAAACAGGGAATCCGTTTTTGACAATTCTCTCTATTTTAGTTTCGATGGATCTAGTTGCTGATGTCACTAAATCATCCAATAATTCGCCAGGTTCGTTTATTTGGTTTAACAAATTCTGACAAATTTTGAGACAAACCGCTTTGACTTGTGGCATCGGTTCTATCGTTGCGTTTTGGAATCCAGGGAGAGCGTTACTTGAAAGAACGGTTTTGACAATTTTTACCCATTCTGTTGTGTGATTTTCGTCGGAAGAGACAGCCAAAATGAATTCTTCTGGTCTTGAATCATCTCTCTTTTGGAGAAGAAGGAAACTACGTGAAATAAAACTGAAATAGTCTCCTTCAAGTTTTTGAATCTTTATTTGGTCGGCCAAAGCTCCACAAGCGGCCAATTCCAAAGAAATTGAAGTTCCTTTTTTATCTGGATAAGAAATGGAGAAATTAGGCTTCAATGTGTTGTAGAATGCCAAATAGTTCCTGACTAAATGATAGAATATCTGTTTCGAGTATGGTAAACCGCATTCTGACAACATCTGAGAAATTAATCGTAAATCTTCAATGTCATACTTGTTATTTTGGGGAGTTAAGACTGGTAATAGCTTTGAATAAGCTCCGGCCAAGAAAAATAACGTATACGGCGATAAACTAGAAAGAGAATGCAATTTTGACATCAAAATACGGAGTTGTGTTCCAGTAAGCGGCATGGCAGTTAATCTCTGGCAGCAGCTGTCGTAGAGAGATATTAAACTGAACAAAGCTGTTTGTTCGGAGTGATTTGACTTTACAATTTCGTCTAAGTCATGCATGGCCTTAACGATATCGTTATCGGTCATTTGGACATGTCTGAAAAGTGCAGCTAATACTAAACATTTTCCGTTTCCTCTGAATTTTGAAATAATTTTTGAGATCTCGTCGAAAGAACCGAATCTGGCGCAGAAAATAGCGACAATTTCGGATGATACTCTCATTCTTTCGATATCAGTAAAGGAATCATTCAATGTATCTAAAATCAAGCTATGTAAGTTAGATGGAAGCAAAACAATCTTTTCTGAGAGACATAACTTGAGTATTAACAAATGCGACATGTAATAATTGGTCGAAGAATGGATTAAATATGTCAAAAACTGAGTTATTTCTTCTTTCGAGAAAATTGACATAATTTCTGGCATCATTTCACAGATTCTGATGGACATGGATTGTCCAGTGATCCTCATGTATAAAGGACCGTTCTGTTGTACAGATGAAACAGAATAGAAAAGTAATTCTGTCATTGGAGGCATTGGTTGCACTAATAGTGTCTTTACATATGATTCTGGAGGTGTTTCTTTAAGAATTCTTGGCATTAACTTCAATAATATTTTCAATGAATCTTTTTCTTTCATTCCGACTAAAGCAGTAACAATTCCAACTATAGATGTACTTGTTAAACCTTGTTCTGCGTTCGATGCTGCATCAGCGAACTTAATTGCACCGGGTATCTTCGGATGTTGAGCAATAGCTGCAGAAATCAGTCTGACTAGATCTTTATTTGGTCGAGAGGCCATTTCTGAGGCATGTTCTGTGACGTATTTCGTTGCCATTGTTAATTGTTTGCCAACTAACTCTAAATCTACGTATTTCGAAGGTAAAACTGCTAGTAACCTAAAGCATGCCTGATAATCTGGCGCAAAAACATTGTTTGCAGTCAAACTTCGTTTAAGAAATGCGATGATATTATTTTCAACTGGCAAACAAGTTGATTCTGGATCTTTTGAAGAACCAATAATATTTGCTGCTAATAAAGAGAAGCCTCTTAGATCAGCAGCGATCTGTGGATCATCATCAGGTGGAAATCCCAAAAATAAAGCAGCTGTTTCCAAATACATAGCGGCAATATCAGGGTATTCGTTTGATAAAATTGTTATGTACTGGCAACATGAGAATCTGGCGTCTTCTTGGTCACTTGAAGATAATTGTAAACTTACAGCAGCGGCTTCATGGGCCATAGCCTTGTCCGATGCTAAAAATCTTAAGCAATGAAGCTGTGATGCTGTTGGTGGCCTCTCAGCTGCAATTTGTGTGAAAAGATTTGATCTGACATCATGTCCAAACAAAGAAAGGATTTGGCTTAGGTCGTATAGTTGATTCTTTCTTACAAAGTCAAAGATTATGTTGATGTTATCGTATAAAAATTGAGGTGAAATGATATCCAAAAAATGTCTGAAAACTGAAGTAAAATTCTTGATGTATTTTGTAAATATATGAAATGTTTCTGTGAAATCTGATGCTTGTGTTTGTTGCTTTCCAATGGTAAACTCTTTAACTTCGACTGTATTGTTTTGCTTAAGTAATGGAAGAGCGGCGATATTTGCAATAAGATAAGATACTTCATCATCGATGAATGGTGAGTTGTTTGCATGTCCAAGTATTGAATCTATTATTGGTAAAACTTTATGAACTAATTGGGCATTATATTTTATTAAGGTTCGTAATAATTTAATTGCTGCTAACCGAATATGTTCGTGTTGTAACAATAATGATGACTTAGCGATTGATAAAATTTTTTCATCGTATGGTTTGAGATCTACTGGTGAAATATGGTAACATGACCTAATAAGAAACATTACCGGATGATAGAATTTCTCGTCACTCTTTACTAATGATAAAATGCTTTTAATAAGTCCGGCAAGCATTGATTTAGAAGAATGTCCTATACGTTTAATGACATAATATGAAGCATATAATTTGGATACTGTGGGATTTTTGCTTGTTGTTGTGATTAAATTCCATAATTTTGGTGATTTTTGCGTAGAGTATATTGTGGTTAAGCAAACTGCAATCCTAATGGAACAATGGTAACTAAGATCGCCATTATTGACATTCAGAAGTGAAATAAGAACATTTTCAATGGTTTCAACATCTTTTTCATTAATATTTGCCTTCGAAACTATTTCTTCGAAGTTGGCGAGCTTTCCAGTAAGAATCTCTTCAGCAGGCATTAATCTGCCTTGCTTTGAGAGTGAGGATAGCTCAGAAATAAGTTGATCCATTTTTCAATAAAATTTTTTTTCTGGAGGATCTGATTTTGGAGAAGAATATAGAAAAGCAAATTCTATTCTTTTCCGATTATCCTATTGATGGTGCTTAGCATGGCAATTCGACCTCATAAGTATGCATGCGTAGGACTTCAGCATTGAAAAATATGTAATCCAATACATTTTGGAAAATTGGATATGAAACTGATATGTATAATTTCAATCTTTGTGTATCTAACAATCTTATTAATTGATTCATGACAATGTCATGAATAGTTCAAGCTCAATAATATATGAAAAACAGATTAGTGTTCTATTTTAATTACCTTAGAGTAGCCAACTTAAATGACCAAATGTATCAAAATAGAAAGTCTTTCGGATAATTAAGGTGTGTTAATTAGTTATTCAAATCACTTAAGATGCATTCTAAAGATTAAAGTGGTATAATATTTATCACTACATGTATCTTTGCATTCTTGACGATAAAATAGTTTATTATACTGGTTTCTCCATTTTGGGAGATTAATTCAGCATTATTGAATTCATATTTAGCTGAAATAATAGCTTATAGACTTCATCATTGAAATATGTTTCTGAGAGTTCTTAATATTAATAATAATTATATTGGTTTATGAATTGAGCTCCAATAACATCGCAAACCATATCGCTGAATTTTGTGATAAAAATGAGATAGAGAATTAAATTAGATGAAGATTATCATGATCTGAAATGAAATTCAAATCAAATCAAAAAGTATAACTTGACCGCATTCATTCAAAATACAAATGTCTTCTTAATACATATAACTTATTTAAACTTTTAATGTAAAACATGGTAAAATTATTTCATAATCTAGCAAAAATTTCTTAATCATTACTGGATAACAATTGTTTCAAATAGTAAAGATGAAACCCAACGGTTTTTCATAGTGTAATATGGTTACAGATATTTGTCAAGATGAGCAATCTGACAGACCGAAAAATGAAGTCCATGATTTGAGAAAATAATTTATTTTGATTAGTTGGGCAATGAGTTTCACGATGGGCTGGCATTATCCGATCATTTTAATTTGAATTCGATAATTTGACGATTTTGTGTTGAGATTTAATTTCCATCTAATTTGTTGATAAAATATTAACAAAAATATACTGATAATTATATTATCTTTCGTTGCCTTTACTTTTGTAGATATCTGGAATTGAAATTGTTGTTTATTTGAAAAAAGTTTTAATCTGGCTAAAAATGTTAATTATGCATGATTGTGCTGTCCTATAATATTAAAAAATTAAATGGAGTCTCAAATATATTGACAAAATAACGGCTTGTTTATACTTCATGTAGAGACAGTTTATCTCTAGGAACATTTTTCTGATAAAAACACTTGTGGTTGATTACAAATCCAGAAATAAATGATGTAAACCTCTCAATTTCTATTGTCTCAAATAATATTAATGTCTCTAGTTTATTGTTTTCAATCCAAATTTTCGAAATAGCAATTCAACTTGAAAAACCGGTTTTCATACAATACAACGACAAATTTTTTTATTACAGATCTTTCGATGAGGCTGAAAGGTTCCTCTGCGAAATCATTACCTCGTGAGACGAGAATCAAAAGAACATTCAATAAGAACGATGATGAAATGCTCCTGAAGGCCGTTCAAGAGTCAAAATTCACAGATTGGAATGAAATTGCTAAGAAACTAGGAAAATGGACAGCCCGCCAATGTCGTGAAAGATGGAAAAACTATGTTGACCCTTCACTATCCCATGAAAAGTGGACTGATTCAGAAGATAGAATTTTATTAAAGAGATTCGAGGAAATTGGCACCAATTGGGTTAAATTAAAGCAATTCCTACCTGGCCGATCCGTAAATAATATCAAGAATAGGCTTCAATATCTGAAAAATCATAATTTTTCTGCTTCATCTACAACGGAAACGGATGACGCGCCGATGAATGACGTCGAGTATTACCTCGATTTTCTCAAGATTTCTAATTTAGTTAATGTTCATTAATTTTTTATCATTTCATTTCGAATAAAATTATCATTCTGTTGTTACTTTTAACTTTATCTTATTCGTTTAAAAGGTTCTGATGTAATTAATTCAGAACGCCAACCATTTTTCAGGACAAAAAATTGAGAATTTTATTCAAATTGACTGAATAGGTATCATCCCATATCAGGGTGACAAATTAGATTTGTAGTTTTAAATTTCTAATTAAGTGTCTCAATACTCTCAAAATTGAACGATATTGATGTCAAATTCGTAGTATTAGAGCGGTTTTCAACTGCAAAATACACTCAATTAGAAACTGAATTGTGTGTGAAGCTTTATACTGCTCACTTGTCCCGTGATAATGGTGATTTGACGATCGATATTCTCCAGTTTTGGCTTAAACATTACGATATTATCAAAAATTGACCGCGGCGGTTGAATAAATTATAAATCAAATCATCAAATTTGATTAATTTTGCATAGGTCATAGTATTGAAAATATGAATTCGAACGTTCAACGTTTTTTTAACAGTTTTGACATTAATCAATTTTTAGTTGGTTTGTTGGATTTCTATTTCGGAATAGATCCTTGCACCAGTAGCTTAGGCGCACAATCATTTTCCCTACTGGCTTTGAATAAATCGCAAAAAATTATTTTTTTCAAATATCATATTTAAATCACAAACAAACAATATTGGAATAAAATACATGTCATACATCAAAGATGACATGCATCGGTATATTTGTTTTTACAGATAATATATTATGTTGAAATATAATGAATTATGGAGTAAATGTCCAACGAAACTACATTCCATTCTATTAACATCATCGAATTAATTATACGGGTTGCTTCTGCTTTCTTGTTGATAATTCGGAATATTATTATTCCCATTATCATTGTAATACGGGGTAGGATACCCAGGTTGGTTGTAATTATAGTTATCTTGATTTAAGTCTTGTAACTCTGATTGATTTGGATAACCGTTATTATTATTATTTTCATCTATCACGAATGAATTCGGATTTGGATCTTTTGAGTAATAATCACGTTGTTCTGGTTCTGAGTTTTTACCTTCTTTTGCCTCTTCTTCTGCCTTAATTTTTTGCTTCTTTTTTCGTTTGCAAATATAAAGAATTATAATTACAATGATAATAACAACAAATGCGGCGGCCATTCCACCTCCAACGGCAGGTGTTATGGGTTTGAGTTTCTTTGTTGATGAAGCTGAATATATTTTAGGTCTGTAGTTATTCCTTACACCTAATGGATTCCTCATCTTTGAGCTTTGACAAGGAGTAGGTCTAAGCGTTATCATATCTTGTTGTTCATTCATTATTCCGATATAAATTTTTTGTCAATTTTTTATAAAGGTTTTCAATTTTGAAATAATGACTATCATCATTTATGATTCAACGGTATATCGTCTTGGAGGAATAAACCTTTTAATGGATAATGTTATATGGACTATTTAAGCAAGAATTGGCTAATGTTCGTAATCAAATATTCCGAGTAACATAGAAATATATTCCGATTAAAAACAGTATTCTTATAAAAATACACAACAGTATATAATTCATTTATTCTATAATATAAAGCCTTAAAAACAATTTTAATAAAAATACAAATTAATTATAAGTTAAACGAGCTTTTTCGAAGTCAAACTCTGTGGGTACGCGTCTACGTTGATAATCATCTCGATCGTTATCAATAACTAAGATTCCTTGTGAATCTGAATTGGAAGAATCGAAGTCATCAATTTTTGAAATTTTCAATCTGTCTTTAAACGTTAAACTCCTGATAGAGTGGGCAACAGAATACGCTCGCGGAGGTTTATATGTAAAGTCTGAGCTCAATGACTCATTGTCTATTGTTGGATCACTTTCTTCTTCGTTTGCATCAAATGTTGATGATTCTATATTAAATTCGCGTTGTGGTTCTAAGAAACTCTTGCCATCCTCTTCTCCATTGATCATTGCTAGTAGGTTCTGTATCTTTTCGATGTTTGATTCTGGAATATTACAATTATCTAATTCTAAAACTTTGAGTTTGAATCTTTTGCCAGGTGAAGGTGGTGGCTGCTGTATAAAATCGCAAATTGGTTGGAATGAATTTGCTGTAATGCTGCAATACGTAAAAGATAAATTTGAATATTGATATGGAGTGATTCTACGTAAAAGTAATTGAAAATTAGTGTCCGAGATTTCAATTCTTTTGAATGATAATAGTTCTAATGTTGAGCATTTTGATATTGCATCAAATAGAATTCTTTGTTGGTCTAAAGGAATATCTATATTCACGAAATGTAATGATTTCAAATTTTTAGCTTTTGGTAGCATAATTGAGAGTATTTTGATTAAATATTTGATAAATTGTGGCTTTTTTATTGCAATTGACTCACTAAGTATTCTTTTCTTTGTCAAATCGATTTTTTCTGATGTGTTGAACTTCCTTTGAAATGTACATGTAAAACAAATGTTTTCAACTTTTTTGTAGATCATATTAGGCAATGTATTGAAGAATGGATCATAAATTGATTCTGGAAGTAAAGAAAAGTCATAGTTGCAGCTTTGCATGCTGCCACTTCCGAGTTTATACATTGCATCTGTCGGAAAAATTTTCAAACTCATTACACAGTAAAAAATTTATGTAAAAAAAACCGAAAAAGTTTATTTCTATTGAGCATCATTTCAGATGAGCGCATTCGAAGGTCCATATACACATCTTCCTAAATACCTTATGATTCTCAGCCAAATTGCTAGACATTAAAATGTTCATAGAAAATAGAATGGGTTTAGAGGCTATCTCTATAATCAAGATTAGTTAATCATCAAATAAAGCTGAATGGTCCTTTAAGGGTATATCATTTTATATGAAGTTACAATTCATAGGAAAAAATAACCTGGGTTGTATAAACCATGAACTTGAAAATGAAAAGTATTATTCCTATATATTTGGTTAAATGATACATTAGTTATCATTGAAAGAATTTAGAAAATATAGAAAAATATTGTCATTGAGAGATGAATAAATAAAGAAAAAATAAAAACATAAAACGAATATTTATATGACAGAATCTAAATAATGATAATAAAAAAATATACCCTACGTTCCCAACTTCTGGAAAACGGTTTTTCACCCTTATGATCAGTTTCAGACACTTTGGGAATCTCCCAAACTTTGATATTTTGCATTATGATAGAGAAACGTGTCTAGTTTAACGCACAGTTGTTTTAAAGGCAAATGATGATATCACATGAAATTATCAAATTATCAAATTTTGAAGTACCAGTCCAAAGGGTTAATTAGATCCTACACAGATGTGCGATAGTGAAACATATGTGTTCTTGATTTGAGAAGTCCTACTGATAGAGGTATGAATCTCACAGCTTTGTGTGAGTGTGTCTGACACTTGTATAGAGTGGAATATGCGCCGACATATATTATATAATAACATGTAGTTGATAATTATGAAAAAATAGAATTCGATGCGAATGATATTGAAAGTTGTTTTGTAATTTGATATTTTTCTTATATGTGTTAATTAGTAAATGGCTTGTTTGTTGTGATAGTACTGTGAAAAATGAAAGGTATTTTAAATTAAAAAATTGAGATTTTGAGATATCTCTAGAATTAAGAATTTATTATGTATTTGACTTTTATATAACTATGTGTAAAGGATCTCGATGTCTATATGCTTTAAATAAAATTAAATAAAATGAGATAAAAAATTAAAATGGACAAGAAGATATATGGAAATGTAATTTGTATTGTGTTGGTTGTTGGCAAAATGATTTTAATACAGATTTAAGGATTTGGAATGGATTTGAAATTAAATGATTTTAATTCAAGGAGTAATAAGATTTTGAACTGGTTTTTATTTTGTGAATGTAAACTCCTTCCATAGGATATGTATTAGAAAGATCAATGTCAAACTTTTTGAAAGAATTGTTTTTTTGTTGAGTGATTTTCTCATATTTAATAATATATTTAAGTTGGCGTATCTTACGCCCTTCCAAAAATATGTATTAGAAAGATAAATTTTAAACTTTTTGAAAGAATTGTTTTTTTTTGAGATTTTCTCATATTTAATAATATATTTAAGTTGGCGTATCTTACGCCCTTCCAAAAATATGTATTAGAAAGATGACTTATAATTTCATAAATTATTTTGTCCCGACGGTTTGAGCGGTTATCAGAATGGTTGCTTACACAATGCGTCAGCAAAATGTCGGTTGGGGTGCCCTTCTTGGCCTCCTGAGTACTCACCAAGATACCCCCAGCTCCCGCAAAACACCTCCCTTAGGTGCGCATTACCTGACGGCATTATTTTGCAATTATTTCAAATTTTTTAGATGTCTTTTGTTAAAGTTTGTTAACTAAAGACTTGAAAACAGCTTACCGCTTCAAGCTGCTCTCTTCCCGGTTCCTCTGCCGCAATCTTCTGTTTGATTGTGCGCAAAGCTCTCCTCCTTGTGAACTTTGCCTGACAGATACACCTGGGAGACAGCATTCGGACATCTTACCGCTTCAAGCTGCTCTCTTCCCGGTTCCTCTGCCGCAATCTTATGTCTGATTGTGCGCAAAGCTCTCCTCCTTGTGAACCATGGCTGATAGAAAGAACTGAAAGACAGGATAGGAGGAACATGCCGGTTCAAGTTAACTTGCAATATGCTTCTGATTAGTGATTTTAGATGAAAGATTAGCGAAATCGCATTTAATTTGGATAGAAGGATTCAATTTTATGAAGCAGGCTCGTAGAAAATATGCAGGAATAGCACAATCTTTTGCAATCACAACGCGATTGCAAAACTTCGACCGACAAGAGTGTATTGTGCACTCTTGTCGGTCTGCATGTCTCATTCCGGGAGACATTGTCACTGCATGTCTCCCAGAATGAGACAATCTTCCGCATTCATAACTTGAATGCGGAAGTTTGACCGACAAGAGTGCACAATACACTCTTGTCGATCTAAATGTATCTTACAATCAAAGACACTTTCATACAATCTTTTCGAAGTTAAAAAAAAATTTAATTATTTCTTTCTTTTGTTTATTAAATCGCCTTACTCACGTACTAATCTCTTTTAGAGACTCTATCGAGCTATCCCCACATATAAACCTGTGACAATAATACATATTTACTCTCTTCATATTCTGATCTCATGACACATTATCGCAAAAACTATAATTATACAACACATCTCATAAAGTCTCATTTTAGCCCTATCTAAGCGTTCAAAACCTATTTTCCACACGTAATCTGATTCTTCTGGCTCCGCTGATTCGATTTCTGCTGTCAGATCGTGAAAATATGCATCACATAAAGAGATAAACACAACTCAAAATTATTGCTTTTTTTTTCAAATTGTCTATTCATCCATCTTTACATATTTATTATCTCCTCCGTTTCCCCTCACAAATTCTTTTAATTTTCTGAATAATACGTATAATAAAATGAATATCTCAAAAACTAAAACACAAAATTAATGTTGGAAAATGACTAGATATAATCTGAACTTTTAAATTCATACATTTTTGGAAAAAATTGAATTTTCAAAAAAAGAGCTTATTTAGGTATGGAAAATATTAAGTTGTGAAATTTGCATTTATCTTGTTATGTGATGCATATTTTCACGATCTGACAGCAGAAATCGAATCAGCGGAGCCAGAAGAATCAGATTACGTGTGTAAAATAAGTTTTGAACGCTTAGATAGGGCTAAAATGAGACTTTATGAGATGTGTTGTATAATTATAGTTTTTGCGATAATGTGTCATGAGATCAGAATATGAAGAGAGTAAATATGTATTATTGTCACAGGTTTATATGTGGGGATAGCTCGATAGAGTCTCTAAAAGAGATTAGTACGTGAGTAAGGCGATTTAATAAACAAAAGAAAGAAATAATTAAATTTTTTTTAACTTCGAAAAGATTGTATGAAAGTGTCTTTGATTGTAAGATACATTTAGATCGACAAGAGTGTATTGTGCACTCTTGTCGGTCAAACTTCCGCATTCAAGTTATGAATGCGGAAGATTGTCTCATTCTGGGAGACATGCAGTGACAATGTCTCCCGGAATGAGACATGCAGACCGACAAGAGTGCACAATACACTCTTGTCGGTCAAACTTCCTAATACAAAATTTGATTCCCTTATTATCTTCTTAACAAAACTTAAGATTTCAATAATACATCATGAAAACATTCATTTACTACATTCACACTGTTATTCCTTTCTATAAATTAACTCATTTAATAGAATCTTGTTTTTATATCTTATTATTTTCTCATAATACTTCTAATTCCTCTATTTCCTCTTCCACATAAAATTTAATTTTGTAATGCTATCATATACACTTAATGTTTTCAAATTTTCAGATTTAAATTTAATCTTTATTTTCATCATCATTTATAATCTTGTTCCTATATAGTTATAATAAATTATCGTCAGATTCTAATATTTATGATTCTTACTACTCAATTCAATATAATTATGTTAGTCACTCATATTCAGGAGAATAATTTAAAAATCTATAGCTCATATTTTGATAGTTATATATTTAGATGATATATATTGCAATTCCGGTTTCAACACGATCAAATGCCAAACCAAGACAAAATATATATGAATTTTCAAAATATCGATTTACATTAGAATCTATATCTAATTTTATCAATACACAAGTAGTGAATGTTCAATACATCTTTGAGCAACGTGAATAGCACAATTTTATAGGATTATTAGTTGATTATATAAAATATAAGCCAAATCGAATCTGCTGTATAGTACTTTAGTTTATCATTGAATGTTAAATGTGTTCATATAAATATTTGATTCAGATATCGCATTTTCTAATTTCAAAATTTATCTCATGAAGTTAGAATTTATTTGATCATACAACATCATGTTAGTCAAACCAGAGTTCAATGGCGATTCTAAAATGGAACAAATGCTTGTTTTATCAAAATGTTAAAATATTAATCTAAAAAACTTAATATCTAACCAAACCATTCTAGAATTATTATATACAGGTATAGACAATCTAAATGCACACGGAATTCGGAAAATTAAAAAGAATATTTATGAGATTATTAAATCTTATGTAATTCAATGAAAAGTAGATAATATGAATATCTATAGGCTATATATCAACATATGAGTTTTTGGTTTGACCAATACTATACTAATGTGATCAAATTAATCTGATTTCTTAGATTTTCATTTGAAGCATTTGCAGTAGTAGGGGTACCTTTATATATTAACATATTAAAAAATTGCGCTCCGATTCGCAGTTTCTTCATGATTTTGAGATTGCATTAGATTTCGCGATGCAGAAAAAAATCACTTTAGATTCCCGTCAAACTCTAGGTATAAGCATGTCTCTATATGTAGAAACTGTCTGCGCTATTTATTTCCCGGCTCAAAAAACCACGGTGTCTGTGTGAGGAAAATACCCATTTTAGGACCCTGGGGTCATGAAAATTTTCCAAGAGTTGGAAATATAGGGTAATGAAAAAAATATCAAAATATAGAAATAATATAAAAGTAAGAAATAAAGCTCTTAGTCGTTACCGACCAAAGCCTGGAACTTAGCAAGTTTTTGTTTGAATGACATTTCTTGTGGTTCAGCTTTTGTCGTAGCAGCCATATTTCTTAGCTCTTCGAGCTCTGCAGGTAACCAATCTGCTGTCTTTCTCCTTGCATTCCTTGAAAAACCTGATGATGAGTTAAATGCAGAAGGAGAATTATCCATTGAAATCGAAGAACTTGGTTTAGCGGCTTGACCACCAACATTTGTGTCTTGCGGTTGAAGCCTTAAGTTGGTGGTTGAGTTCACTTTTTGGACATATGTGTGCTGTCCTCCGTTTGACGAGTTAGTGCTAGAGTTATTGTGACTGTAAGCAGGAGGAAGAGCGTCTGGTTGCATGTAACTTGGAGTATGGACTGGAGATGGGAATCTTCCATTTCCTGGGAGTTGTCCTGAATTAGTTTGTGGATAGACAGGGCCTCCGTTCATGAGCTGCCTGAAGTCAGGTCCGTTCTGAATTGTACCTTGGTTCCGACTCGGACTTGGGAATCTAGATGCGCTACCAGAATTGAACTGGCTTGGTGTATTTGTATTGGAAGTACCCATAAGCTGTCTGAAAACTTCGCCAGTTTGCGGCGGTGACTTGATATTTGAATTTGTTGAAAAAGGTACCAAATTTGGCATAGTTGGCGCATGGAATGTCGATGGCTGAGAGCCAGGGATTGGAGGCTTCGTAGTTAGTTGGCCTGCTTGGTTGTTCGGTGCTGGTCCTGGATTAAATGTTGAAGGGGTTGGAGCAAATCTGGATTGCGTTGGGAAATTCGACCACTGCATTTGATTCTGTTGTGTTTGTTGTGTAGTAGATGTCGCTGGAACAAATGCTGGAGGGTTAAATTTCGATGGCATTTGGCCTGATGGAAAACTTGGCTGGAATTGAGATGGAATATAAGCAGCTGGGAATGCAGGTGCAGGAGCTTGGTTAACTGGCTGAGTTCCTCCGAAATACGATGGAAATAGACTTTGTTGCTGCATTTGGCCAATTGGCGGCAGAAACCTCATCTGTTGGTAACCTGTAGCGGCAGGACTATACTGGAATTGATTGAAATAAGGGTGGTAGCCTGTAGTTGGTTGATTTACCGGATTTTGTTGGATATTCTTATTATAAAATGACGGGTTATTAGCGGCTAATTGCCTCTGAACTGTAGATGATGTTGATGGCCCGTTCGGGGAGACAAAATTAAATGATGTATTGTTTGGAAAGAGATTTGCGCTCGGAAGGTTACCAGTATTGAATGAGAATGCTGAATTTGTTGGCGAATACTGAGGGATGGCCGCATTTGTGAACGGAGTTGCATTAAATTGAGCAGGTTTGAACGTACTTGGCTTAATTCCGGCTCCTGTGTTACTTGATGGACCGTATGTACTATTGTGAGGGCTGTTCTTGCCAGAAGTGAATGCAGAACCGTGAGAACTTCCTGAAAATGGAGTTGGAGGAATTGCTGTGGAAGGACCGAACTGGCTGACGCTTGTAGAATGTGGAATATTCGATGATGATGATGCGACAATTGCTTCGTCCGATTTTCTTGGAGTATCAAGGAGATTTGAATTTGATTTGGAAATTGTGAATCTGTTTCGCTCTGGAGTCCTGATAACAAATGGCTTATCATCATTTTCTTCAAATTCAATAGGAGGAGTGATTGGCTGTGAAATTTCTTTTTGATCATAATAAATTTTCTGGGATTGAGCTGGTTTATTGATTTTTTTGAGCTGCACGGACTGGAATTCGTATGGCGATGGCGAGTTTGTCAAGGCTACGTTATCTTTCTTTTTCTTGACTTTCTTTAGCTGAACGCTGTTCAAATCTGTGAAATTTGGTGCGTAAGGGACTTCATCTAGGTTCTTCTTGACCTTGTCCTTCCTTACTTTTTTGTTGTCTTCTTCTTCAATTTGTATTTTAGAAGATTTTGGTCCTTGTGGCATAGGAGTCCTAGAAGATGGTACTTTCTGTGGTCCTGATACAGCTCCTGCCCTATTGAGTGCGGCTGACATCACTGGACCCCTGTAAGATTTTAGATAATCTGGAGTTTCGATATTTGGCAAGGAAGGCTTCTTCTTTTCCGACTTGTTCTCAATAGTAACAGGTGGAAGTAAAAGAATTTGCGTAGGGTTTCTTTTTGTCGATAATTTTAGAGAAATTTCCGACGGTTTATCTGATTCAGGGAAAAATGTATTAAATATTTCGACGTTCTGATCTTCTGGCGAATGAATGAGCTTTAAAACTGTTTGCGATGAAGATATAAGTTGGCTAAATTCTTCTTCAAGATCATTCTGTTGAATCGAATTATATGCCTTCTGCATCTCCTGATACTCGGTTGATTTTGCCCCTAAGCCTGTTGCAACAGTAGATAGGAACAATTTTCTGCATTTTTTGCTGCATTCGTTCGGATTTGAATTAATTGACTTTGCGAATGACTTTACATTACTCTTGACTTGCTTAGGGAGCTCAGGAACTCCTCGGAATTTGCATGTTCCCGTGTCAACATCTAAGAAAATATGAGATTCAACGTCTTCCCATGATACATTTGATGCAAGAGCAGCAGGTATGCCGATAATAAATGGAAATGGCGCTAGAATTGCGTCAGTAAGCTTAGCTGGGAGCAATGGAATGAAAACGCCCGGCCAATTCAATGGATATATCAAAGAGATAAGCGAAAAACAAACTTTCGAAAGTCTTGTTAATGACGTTGCTTGTATAATAATTTTGGAATCTGCAGCTATGTATGCAATTAAATTACCGACGACTTCGCCAGGGAAGATGAATAATAAGTCAAGTACCATACTATTAATAACGAGTTGTTCTGAGAGTAATGTATCACCGTGAATGTTTGGTTTTTGAAATGAAGCTGCTATAGATATTGCTGATTTGGCATTATTTTGTTCAAACTTTGGAACAATAAGTTCCATCATTTGCAAAATCCTTAGCTGATCAAAATGCTGCGATAATACGCAATATGCTACAACTGAATTATTGTTTGGATAATGAATGACATAACCATAAGAATAATCCGAATCGCCTTTTTTTGTTGCGAAAGTAAACTTGTCTGTCACTAATTTTGTATCACCGAGCGGAAAACAGAACCTAAGAGCAGTCTTTTCATATTCAATTAAAGGCGGTTCAACTGGATAAACTTGCTTTGCTAGAAGTATTCCATTTGGATCAGACTCAACTGCGAGTATTAGATCGAAGAGAGGCGTCGATCCCTGACAAAAGCGAAGCATAATTTATTTTTTCCTTATCGAAAAAAAAATTTTTTTTATCATGTCAATGTATAAAAAAAGTTATTTATTCAGCTTATAAGATTTTATTGGAATAATGTTCAGCGTAATAAAATAAACAAATCTTTATCATCTTTGTCTACCATTCAATTATCATCGTAATTTCTTTGCAAAAATCCCATGAAAACCCTCAACCTTATTTGATGAAAAAGGTAATGTTTTATCAATGTGCAGGCTAGAACGAGGCTGATTCATATGTAAAAATCAAATCTAAGAAGAAAATTTAGCAGCCCACTTTGAAAAACAAGTTATTTTAATTCCCTATGCTTCATCATTCTGGATGCATGCCTTTTGTTCAAAATAAATATGTCGAATGATCGATGATCAAGGCTTGATTGATTCATATTTAATTTTTTGTTTGTGTTTAAACTAAGAATAGGTTAATAAGAAGAAAAACAAGTTACAAATCTGTCAAATGGCATAAATATGAAATTGCTATTTTCAAACATTGAATCTATTAGGCCACAATGATCCAAATCATAAACTGTGCTTTTTAATGTCAGAATATCAATGCATTATTCGATTAGAGATTAAAAATAATTTATTCAATATTATTGGGAAATATGAACTCACTCTTTCGATATATGATTTTCAATGACCATACTAGTGTTTTTCTACTAAGTAAAAATCTAATATTGAACACAATAGAAAAATATTTTCGATTTTCGTATGAAATGATGGAGAAATATCTTAATGTAAATAGATGATATGATATAGAATTCTGTATGCGCATCATAATTCGTTTAATGCAATTGAAATAATAGGATTTTAATAAAGGTTTATTCAATTGCCTGATAAATTATAACATAATAAGTACATTTTAATTGTCCAATGGATTGTAAAGGGGAACGATGATTTAACTAATGATTTATCATACTTTTAATAAAAAATTAAAGTGTTAGATAAGATAATTGATGTCCACGATCAGTAAAATGGCATTAAACTAGCAAATAAGTAAATTTGTTTAAGATAATTAACAGTTATTAAAAAATTGTCGAAGAATTAAATCAAATTTTGTCTTTACTGAGATGCTTTAGCATGAATCTTCTTGTTGAAATGTGTTAAAATAGAAAATGTTTGTTTTTGTTCCAAGACAGATAACAAAGAAAGCAGATATTAGAAAACAAAATGTCTAATTTTTTTTGACATTTTATTGAATTTGAAGATTTTTGGAATTTTAAGGTTAAAAAGAAGTCAATTTTAATTTTTTTAATATTATTCAGAGGTTTTAAAAGATTCTAAAATGGCAAATGTATTTCATTTTTGAATTATTTTAAACATTGTTCAAATTTTAGCATATATCAATTTTTTATTCAAAATTTTATTGAAATTTAACTAAAAATCCGTCATTAAGACGCTAAATTAATTGTACCTTAAATCACACGATGCACATCATGCCATAAATTCAGATGAAAAGGGTATAATAAAGAAGATGCGTTTATTACTTCACAAAATGACATTTTATAAACATTTATAGCAATATTTTTGATGTCTTCGAGGTCAAACTCGTCTTCATCATCATTGTATGAATTATTTTTATCATAAAATTTGTACCCGGGCAATAATATGTAGTGTAAAGTGAATTATAGCTGAATCAAATGGTTTAACTGATTCAAAATAAAAAAGATCATTATACACAGTTTGTTTCAAGTAATACTTTGCTGTTGGATTTAAGGTAGATCGCTCGATTTTGATAATGGTAAGAAAATATTGCATGATGAATATAATAATTGCCATCGCCTGATATTTATTCATTTTCTTTTCTATCATCATAATCATTCGAGCCGTAATATTCTGAAAAACTTCGTTGAAGTTGCAAATTTCTTTGCTGCTTGATTTATTTTGCTGAATAAGAAGTTCATCGTATTGAATCATGATAACTTCTTGCATATTATTGGAAATAATAGCTTATCAACCCTGAATATTTTGATTTAGATTTCCTTTAATCAAATTTCAATAAGAATTACGATGATATTTCATTCAAATTTTTTTGCTAATATGAACAAATAAATGATACAACATACAAACAACCATTTTCTTTTTTGAACATCTGCACACCCCTAATCAAATGGCTTTCAATTTATCGTAAATTTTACCTGAAATTGAGACTTCAACTCAAAAAATTTTAATGTTTTGTGAGTCGATTTCGCCTGATTGCAATGCAATCTACAATAACGTAGTTTATCAAGATAGTAGATTCTTACGTAATTCAGAAATCAAAGATTTCCTTGTTGAGGCAATCAAACCAGAGCTAAATGAATACCTCAAACTTTTTGACCTTTCAGAAACATCGAACATTTGCAAAGACATTCCCATCTTTATCTCAGAAAAACTCACTAGTCCAATAAATGTTGTAGTTACATTTCCATACCAAAGAGCTCCAAATCATGCAATCCTAGGTATCGTAAACTTCTATCTCAAAGTTTCAAACGTTGAAAACTTTAGCACGCTGTTAGATATGTTTTCAACAAACAAATTTACAAATTGTACTCAAAACATTCAAATTATTAAATATTTTGCTCGTGAAAGAGACGATTTTTTTTCAACGAATATCTCTTAATGCCAGTTAAATATGTTTATCAATATTTCAGAGAAGTTGATCAAATTCGTCCTGGTGATAAATTGTTTTATTCTTTCAAAAATGTACATCTTAGAATAGGATATTTTGATCTAATATCGTTGTTATCTAAGAATACAGACAAATCCGAAACAATTCAAATATTTGTACAAGATTGCCGTGGTCAAGAAACACCAGATATAATCACACTTTTCGCGTTTTTGGGAGAGAATATGCAATTACATAAAAAAGGTTCCCGCCTCGATCAAACGAAAATTCACTTCCCATAACAACTATCAATCATTAAAATCTCATAATGATTAAACTTGTTTTAATTTTATGAAAAGTTGATAAAATCAAACTGCGTTGCAAAAGATCGACTTTTCAAATTTAAGGGTAATCAACAAAAATGACATAGGATTCAGCTAGAACTTCAATAGTGTGGCGTTCCGATAGTTTTTGAGCCAGTTTTTCTTGTAAGTTTGATGACTTTCATAATATTATTTTTACATAAGTGATGAATTAGGTATTTTGATATCTTATCATGGTTCTTTACAGAAGAGAACCCTTTATAGCTTATATTTTTAAGGCTGCATCGGATATCAAACAGGAATATAATTTATCGTAAGATAATCAAAGAAAAACATTTGATTATGAGATTCTTTGCTCTATTATTGTGATTTATATTGTTGTTTTTTACCTCAAGATTGGTAAAATGTTGGATACTGACATCAAATTTCGAGCTGAATTTCGAATTAAACAACAATAGAGAGGAATTTACGCTGAGGATCCTACACAAAGTTTCTTGCTACAAAGTTATGATTTGTAAAACATTTAGAATATTATTTTCCAGATTAAAAAAACATAAACAAATTTTTGAATAATTTTTGTTTTAATCCTAGTTAGGAAATTAATTGATTTAGAATCCACCCTGGAACTGTGGTTGGAATCCACCCTGTGAAGCGAATCCTGGCTGGCCACCGAATGAAGCGTTTCCGAACTGTTGTGGTGGGGCGAATGAAGCTGGAGCACCGGAAGCAGCGAATGGATCAGTTGACTGAGCGAATGAAGCGCCCTGGTCTGGGAATCCGCCGTCGAATGCTGGTGGAGCGACAGATGCAGAAGCAGCTGCAGCAGCGACTGTCTTTGTCTCCTCGACTGTGCCAGAGAGAGCCTGGACATCAGCCTGGAGCTTGGCGATGGCAGCGTTCTGGTCTCTCATTGACTGGATGAGGAATGGCATTGCGAAGTCTGTGCAGTTGTGTCTCCATGCGAGTTCAAGGATGACATCGGATGAGAGGAGGTCGTAGCAGACGTATGTGGCAGCGGCGAAGCACTCGAGGAGCTTCTTCTCGAGGAAGAACTTGATGAGATCTTCGGCGATCTTTGTGTCCTTGGACTGAGCAGCTGTCTCGATTGCATCTCTGTAGAACTCGTCCTTCTTGGAGATGGAGATAGACTCGTTCCATCTCTGGTTCTTTCTGAAGATGTAGGATGAGATTCTGCGGAATTCCAAGCATTCGTGGTGCTCTAACTCGCGTGCCAATGTGATCTGTTCGAAGAGTGTGAATGCATCGATTGAGCGTCTGAGTGAGTCGTAGTCGCCGTCCTCGATGTACATTCTGTTGAGGGCCTCGTTGACAGCCTGGACGTTTGTGGACTGGATGGAAGCGAGGTATGACTTGATGAGCTGGAGGTTGTTGGAGCGCTTGAACATGTCGACAAGTCTTGTTGAGTCAATCTTTGGACCGATTGTCTGCAACAAGTCTGGGATATCCATTGGAGAGATTGTGAGGTAGAAGTTGAGTGATCTGTAGAGGATATCTGCGTTGGAGACCTGAGCGACGAGTTCCTTGAAGTAGTTGTGTGTCCATGCAGCAGATGGGTGCTCGATGATTGTTGTGACGGCGTTGTCGAACTCGGAATACTTGTCGTAGGCGTATGTGAGTTCCTTCCACATGTGCATGGCCTGGAGGATCTTGATGACCTTGAAAAGGGCGATGCGCTGGTTGAACTGCTTGAGGTGGTCCATGCACTTCTCTGGCTGGTGCTTGGCGTAGAGAACGGCAAGCTCTGTGAAGATGCCGCCGTGTGCGCGCTCTAAGCCGAGAGCTGCTTCAAGTAAGCCAATGACCTGTGTGAAGTAGCCACCGTCTTCGTACAACTTGATGACCTCAAGAAGGTGATCGGCTTCGATGACGATCTGTAAGCCAGCGACCTGGGCGAGCTTGAAGTCTCCGATTTCGATGCAAGCGCGGAGTACAGCCATCCATGACTTTGTGGATGATGCCTTGCGTGCAGCGTCGATGGCGGCCTGGAGTTCCTTGAGTTCGATGAGTGTCTCTGCGAGGCGGGCGTAGTCCTTGACTGCTGTGTACAAGATCTTTGCGGCCTTGAAGAGCTGTTGATCGAAGCAGCGGTCGGCGATTTCCTTTGTGCGGGGGAGTTTGGAGAAGAAACGAGTTCCTCTAACTCGCCGAGCATGTCAACCTTGGCGTAAGCGAAGAGAAGCTCTGTCTCGATGATTGGATCACCGATCTGGTTGGAGCGAGCGAGCTGAAGGTATGGAACAAGAGCCTTGTACTCTTCAGCCTTCTCAGCGGCCTCGATGACGGCGTAGTACTCCTTTGTGTCCTTTGACTTGATGAAGGACTCGATGGAGTTGACAACTTCGCCGGCAGCGAGCTGAGCACGAGCGACTTCGCCCCAAACGTTTGGATCGTCGCAGTGGGCGGCCCAGTCAGCAGCGCCTTGGAGATCGCCCTTGTTGTCGAGCATGACCTTGACGGCGAGGACTGGCTGTTCGTACTTCTTGTAGACAGCGATTGTTTCATCGTAGAGCTGGAAGTCGATGAGCTTCTCAGCAATCTTTTCCCATGTGTAGTGGTTGAGGCGCTGGACGTAGTTCATGACGCGTGTTGTGTCTGACTGAGCAGCTGTGAGGATGAGCAAGTTCTGGAGGGAAACGTTCTCCTTGAACTGTGGAGACTCCATGACGACTTTCTCGAGAAGGCCGAGGAGCTGTGCTGGGATGTCGGCGGCGATGAATGCCTTGACTGTCATTGAGACCTTGTCTGGGTCTTCGCACTCTGGAAGAGCTGTGGAAATGACAGCATCGACAACCAACTTCATGTGTGGGTTCTCTGGGTTGAGAACACGTGCCCAGAGGTTCTCATCCTGTCTGTTGACGAGGTATCTGGCCTGTTCCTTGTAGAGCTGGTGTGTGTTTGTGAGCTCGATGAGTTCGTCATCGCACTGGCCCTTGGCGTAGGCAATGCATGCGAGGTGGGCATCGCGCTTGGCAAGGATCTCACCGACAAACTTTGGATCGTAGTACTGGTTCTCGCGGAGGGCGCGTTCTGGGTTGCGGCCCATGTTGTAGGCGAGGAGAACGATACCGTTGTTTGTGGCTGGATCGACAGAACCAGAAGCCTGGCGCTGTTCGAGGATCTGTTGGAGAAGGCGCAGTCTCTCGCGCTTCATTGTCTCCTTGATGAGCTCCTCCATTGGTGCTGTGTGCTGGACGGAGTTGATCAACTTGACGATGTACTCCTGTGGAGCTTCGATATCGATGAGGGCACCGATGACACGGCCGGCCATGGCTGGGTTGAACTTCTGGATGTAGATTTCGAGTTCGCGGGAAGCATTCTTCTTGTAGAGGTACTTTGTAAGGTCTTCTGCGAATCCGAATCTGTTGCAGAGAACGATGAGTGGGACGCGGTCTGGGAGATCAGCCTGCATGAGGAAGTCACGAACACGCTCTGGCTGGAGGTATTCTGACTCACGGCACATTCTCTCAACTTCGCCGTAGTCCTGAAGCTTTGTTGCAGCTTCGATGTAGCGGAAGTGGATATCTGGATCTGTGCATGTTGTAACGACAAGAGCTAAGAAGTAGTAGATAGCCTGTGTAGCCTTTGTCTTGTTGAACAATGCAAGGAGTGTGTCGATGCCGAGCTTGTCGTAGTATGTGCCAGCGACCTTGACGACGAGTTGGACGTTCTGTTGCTGGTTGTTTGTGAGAAGTTCCTGGAGGCACTCCATGACCCACTTTGGATCCATTGTTGCGAAGTACTGGACTAAGAAGTCTGGGTTGATTGACTGTGTGTTGACGATGCAGCGCTTGATGGATGGAAGGTCTGTGTAGTGCTCGAGAGCGCGCTGGAAGTTGCCTGCACGTTCGCAGAGGTTGGCAACCTTCTGGCGGTCGTAGAATGTGTAGCATTCCTTGGCGAAGAGTTCTTCAGCAACACGTGGGATGTTGGTCAATGTGATCTCGAAGAGAAGTGTCTGGAGATCGGAATCTTCCTCACGGTTCTGGACAAGAACAGATACCAAAAATGAAGCAGCCTGTGTGAAGAGGGAGAACTGCTGAAGGATTGTGACAACTTGCATGGCGTTGACAAGTGGTTGGCCGTTGTTAGCAACGAAATTGAGGAGCTGGGCAAGTCCTTCTGGGTTGGAGCGGGCGATGAGTGTGATGATCTGGAGCCAGTCGCATGTGTAGTTGTACTGCTGGCAGTACTGTGCGATCTTGTCGAATGAGCCCATCTCAGCGAATGTGGCGCAGACCTTTGCGTGTGCACCAGCGCGGATGTAGATGGCGGCGGCTGTGATTGGATCAGCTTGCTTGCAAACATCACCTAAGTTCTCTGATGGTGTGAGGCTGTCGTTCTTGATCCAGTTCTGGATGAGGTTGGCCTTGCCCATGTTGATGACAATGCGGCAGAACTCAACAGATTCGACTTCTGTGAGCTTTGTCTGTGTAATAAGAGCGGACAAGTACTGGAGAAGCGGTGGATGGCCTCCTGGCTGTGTTGGCAATCTCTGTAACTTGGAGATTGTAGCAGCACCACGGAGAGCATCGCCAGGTGTTGTAGCGGCAACACGAGCGGCTTCCTGGAAGTTGCCCTGGAGAAGGAGCTGATCGAACTACTGTGTGATGAAATCGTTCGACATGTGGATGCCGGCGTTGGCAGCGACCTTGGCAGCAACTTGGGCACCAGCGCGCTGTGTAATGTAGTCGACAATTGTATCATTGTTGATGGCGATTGAAACGAGACGGCCGTCCTTGCCGAGAGCGAGGATTCCACCGTTTGTTGTGGAGTTGGCGAGGATCTGTGGTGTGTTGGCGATTCTGACGGAGAGATAAACTGTTGCGGATTGGAGTTCCATCATGTAGAGGAGACCGCCACGTGTAACCATGTAGATGGAGTTGTACTTCTGTGAGAAGAGAACGTAGAGTGGTAAGTCGTCCTGAGCATCCGGTGGAGCTTGGAGATCCTGGAACTTTCTGCCGAAGGATTGGGCTTCTGGGGAGCTGCCAAGTGGGAAGATGTTGAGCTTCATGTTGCCAGCCTTTGAAGCGAAGGCAAGAAGCTGAAGATTGCCGATGTTAGCGAAAACACCATTGAAGGCATCGATAACTTGGGAGACCTTGTGCTCGTTGGAGTAAATCTGGAGCTTGCCGACAATCTGGTTGTTCTCCTGTGTGAGGCCAGAAAGTAAATACCACTGCTTGTCCTGGGAAACAGCGTAGCCAATGATCTGTGTGTTGGCGAGTTGTGGGAGAAGCTGGAATACCTGAACTGGGTTGTTGTTCTGGCTCATTGTCCAGTGGAAAACAGCATTACCAACAACAAACATGAGAGTATCATCGTCGACGAATTTCCAGTATGTAACTTGCATGTTTTCTGGAACGGTGAATGATTTAAGGCGTTGGCGTGTGTTGAGATCGAAAACTTGGAGAGCATTGTTACCACGAAGAGCAATAACGTTGCGAGATGGATGCATGACTGCAGCATCGGCGCACATTTTATGTCTTGTGATCTGGTTGCCCTGCTGAAGGTCAATGATGGCGACAGAAGATTCTGGTCCGTTTTCTTCGCGGACGCAGAGATATTTGTCCTTAGAGACTGCAGAATTGGATGGGACTGCAAATCTCGGGTCCATGTTCTGAGAAGCAAACGAGAAAACCTCGTTGACAAAGATAGGCTGTGACATTTATCGAGAGTGTCAAACTGATTGTTTTGAACATCGGCTCAATTTTCAAAAAATTTGCCAAAACATGTCTATCGTGTTAAAATACGAACATTTACAACAATACTTTTTATTGACACCATTTTATTAAAACCGCCGTCATGTTTACTAACCAAGAAATAATATCATCTATACACATAATTAATCATTATTTCACAGCGATGTATAAAATTGACGATAGATTTTATCTCAAATTTATCTATCGATAGATGGAGATCGATAGGATCACTTCATATCTATCACTGAACATTATCGATGCTTTAAATATCTATCAACATTAATCTGTTATGGGCACAATTATTGTTTCCTAATTGGAAAATACTTTAACTCTTTCGAAAACTAGGGATTATATTCGATTTTGATGTTTTTGCTTTTTTTTAATGCATTTTCTCGAATATTGATGCTAGAATAAGTCAGTATTATTATCCGAACTTCTCTTTTCCTATATGATCAGGTACAAAAATCATTATAATTTTGGATAAGACAAAATTGCTATCTGTCTTCTGGTAATATATTGAGATTGTTGTGAAAATTCATTGAAAAAAAAAAAAAAAAAAAAAAGGTAGTGGGGCTTCCAGGCACTTCGTGCCCTCTAGCCCCGAAGATGTTTAGTATAAATGAAGTTTTTATTCGGAAAATTGTTAGTCTTCTGGTGTGAATTCGGAGGACTCTTCTTCTTCCTCCATTGCTTCTGGGAAGAAGCCTTCTTCTGGGTCGAAAACATTATATAATGTGTCGCTTTTCACAAATTATATATGTTTTCATGTTTTGTCACTTTTCTGTCACTTTTCAGGAAAAAAACATTTTTATTATTATATATAAATGAATTTTACAAAACCACCGTTACCGTTCTTTGGAAATAAGAGTAGATGTAAAGATATTATATTGAGAGAACTTAAGAAACTACCGAATGGTCTAACATTTGTAGATTTGTTCGGTGGAAGTTTCTATATATCCCATTTGTGCCATACAATATTCCCAGACTCAAAGATTATATGCAATGACTTCGACAACTATATGGACCGTCTCAAACATATACCAGACACAAACAAAATATTGAGTGAGTTAAAAGAAAAGATTCAGATAGGTAAGATGGAACGTATACCATTAGATAAGAAAAATATTGTGAGAGAGGTTTTGAAAAAAGCAGAATATATAGACTGGGATAGTATATCTGCTAGACTATTATATAGTGGTGCTATAAGAGTTCATGACATTGAAACACTTATGTCAAAAGTTTTATATCTTAACTATACAAATGTTTTCAAAGATGACATAGAAAAATATATTGAGGGTATAGAGTTTGTGAGATGTTATTGGACAGAGTTGTATGAAAAATATAAAGACAAGGAAAATGTTTTCTTTATAGTGGACCCGCCGTTCTATAACACATGGGATTTTCAATACCAAGTAGACTGGACTTTGAGAGACTCTTTAGAAACTTTAGACGTTTTACATAACCATCCATGCTTTTACTTTACATCGATAAAAGTGGTTTGGAAACCGTTATGAGATGGTTAGAGGACATACATGACTATGAGTTTAGATATGACAAGATAGAATATGAGAGAGGTCCTATAAACCGGAGAAAGTGTCATAACAAAGAAATTTTATTAGTAAGTAAATGTGGTTTGAAATAGGACTACTTGTTTTAGGTTTTTTCCATTGTGTCATTTATTTATTTGACGTGGCAGAAAAGTACAGAGAATATGAAGATGAACCAATGCCTGCAAATGTTCAGTATATGTACTCGTAAGAGATATTTTTATCTAATATTAAATGGACGCACAGAACTTAGCGAATGCACAGCAACCTGGACAACCAAACCCAGAGAATATTCCAAATGAAGTTAGAATACAAACTGCAATGGCAAACTATGGTCAAGTGCCAACAGATGTACAAATGCAAACTGCCATGTCAAATGACGCTGCGTTAGGTTTGCCACCATGGTATGCAAATATGAGATGGAAAGAGTTTTATACAAACCCTGAAGTGGGATATAAACAACTTTATGCAGATGACGCGAACACAGGAGTTGACCCAGAATATGTTTTCTACCAGAGGAGAAACAGAATGTATGAGCTCCAGTTAAAGAATGCTATGGAACTCAACAGGAAACGTAAGAGACTAGGTGGACATTAGATTTTTACATATAGTAAATGGGTTTCTTCAGTAGTATTGGAAACTTCTTCAGAAGAGTTGGAAGAGGTATATGGAATGGAATAAAAACCGTAGGAAGAGGAATTTGGAACGGTGTCAAAAATATTGGTAAAAGAGTAGGTCAGTTTGTTGGTATTATACCTAAAGACCCTGAACCAGAAGAACAAGCTCCTGTTATACAACAGCCTGAACCTGCACCACAGTCTAGTTGGCAACCAAATCCAACACCTCAACCGTATTAAAAAATTATATTTTACCGTTCGATAGTAGTTGTATATGAAACTAAGTTCTAAGTAAAACGCATGGTATAATGGAATTATTCTTTTTCTTCCATCTGTAGTAAACCATACTTGAAAGTCTGAAATACTTCCACTTGGTGGTTCGTATAACTTTGTAGGTTTTTCGTAAAAGTCATTTGCCAAGCATAAGAAAGAGTTTTGGGCGCCAGAAAATGAAGCATGAACAATAATAGCATCTTTGGTCGAAAACATTTTCATATGTTCCATTAGGGTTTTCGACTTCATAAAAGTCTGGGTGTACTGGATATGCTGCAGGCTGATTTAACATCCTCAGAAATCTATACCATGCCAAGTTATATTTTGTAGAAATATAAACGTTTTCTCCAAGGTCTTCTATTCTATTGATTTTAACAGTTGCATTTTTCCTGTCATAAATATATATCGAGATGGTACTCTCCCTCGTCAATGTTATACTGGTTTGCATATTCGATATAGATATCGTTTATTTTTTCTTGAAAAGCTTGAAGAGTTGTTTCTAAGTTTACAAGCAAACTAACTTGTAAAAGTTTTCCCTGTTCAAATTTCTCATACATACGTTTTTCTTTGTTATAGTATCGAACTTCAAAACCGACCGTAAATGGGAAACCATGTATGGCTTCTGAAATGAACTTCATTCTACGAAAGCCAATAGCTTTTGTGACAGATGGGTCTCTTAGCCATCTTAATGGGTAGTCAAAACGATAGCCTTCATGCTTTACGGTCTCTGTCTCAAACTTTTGACCGACATTAGTAAAAAGTTCATCTAATGGTTTAGTTGTAGCAACTCTTGAATTTTCTTTTCTATTGAAAGCATATTTTATCTAGAATAAAAATGTCGAAAGATATTGCTTCCATAAGAGAAATACAACACAACCGACAACTCATTATGCAAGCTCTAAATAAGAACACAACAAACTTTTCAAACTATTCTAAGATATCTGAGTCATTGAAAGAAGGAAACTTAAAACTGACATTAAACCCAATGACAGATGAGTTTCTGTTTCAAGACAATAAGAACCATACTGTCTGTATAAATCCAACAAAAGGAACTTTAAACGAGAAACCTATAAATGAACTTCTTTTGAAAGCAGATGTTGACAACAAAGCTGACAAAGAATATGTAGACGATGCAATAGCAAAAGAAGAAGAAAGAGCTAACAATGCTTATGCAACAAAAGAACATACTCATCCTGAACTAGCAGACAAAAAATATGTTGACAATAAAATGTCAAGTGAAGTGACAAGAGCTGAAAACGAATATTCTAAAAGACTCATACACATTCTATATCTGAAATAACAGACTTAAACGTTAGCCTTGAAAATAAAGCAGATAAGGAATATGTGGCTAGTAAGTTAGAGAAGAAAGCAGATAAGGAATATGTGGATGAAAAAGATAACGAAATGAAAGAAAGGGTTGACTGGTACCATGAATGGACATCGAAGATTTTAAAAGTAAAGCCGATACGGGATGGGTTTCAGGATGTTTAGACCTTAAAGCAGATAAAACTTATGTTAACGATGAGTTAGAGAAGAAAGCAGACAAGAACCATACACATACAAGTTTTAAACTGTTGCTATAGAAAGTATTGAAGGAACGGTTGAAGAAACTGGTGGGGATGCAATATATTGTAAACCTCCTAACTTTCCACAAGGTTTAACATCGGATGACGACATAACGAACGATGAAAAACATTAGATGTAAAGATGTTTATGTCATGAAGGATGAACATAATATTAATTCACTGCTCAAGATTTATATGACAAGAAAGCAGACAAAACAGAGCTTCAAACATTAAAGACAGAAATACTTCAAACATTATATCCTATAGGCTCTATTTATACGTCAATGAACTCAACAAATCCAGAAACAGTTCTGGGTTTTGGAACTTGGACTCAAATAGTCGACAGGTTTTTGTATTGTGCAAACTCTTCAAAGGAAACAGGTGGAAGTAAAACGATTTCAGGTGAAAATTTACCTGCACATAGTCACTACATAGATTTAAGTACATCTCAAGCAGGTTGGCAATAAGCATAGATATTGGGATTGGTCAGCAATGACAAAAGGTAAAGGATATGATGTTAAAGACAACGTTAAGTTTGCTATAAATTGTTACTGGAGTAACACTGAGGGAGGAGAAACCATACACATCGCGTTTCGGGATATACGCAAACAACGGGACAAAGTAAAGACTACATGCCACCTTACATGACAGTTTACGCATGGTATAGAAATGCTTAGTCGTCATTTTCAACTTCTTTAGCATATTCGTCAGGAGTTGTCTTATATTTGTTAGGAACTGTTTTTGAAAGTATACCACCTTGAACTTTGACAAGTTTGAAACGAGGTCTGACAATAGTCGTTTTATCTTCTGCTTGCAGTCTGTACATTTTGCCATGTTTGCCTAAAACTTCATAATATTCTCTTGTATACTTTCTTCTATTTTTACGAACACGAATGTGAGTACCTGTCGGGTTCCCATTGTTGTCATAGTCAATAGTATTTTCATATGGGTCGCGTTTAGGTAT